TAACTCAGTTCATCCAACTTAAAGCTCAGAATAGAAGCCATATTTGAATGCAAAAACAGTTTCTAGGTAGCAAGGGATCGGTTATAAAGCGAAGCAATGCATCTTTGATCGCTTAGTGCAGATTTTAACATACTTAGCAATGATTTAATGCTCTCGAAAGCTGTAATAAGTTTGGGGTTGAAGGTTTAAACTGTTTAAAAACGTTTTCTTCAGGAGTAGTCTAAAGAAATCGCATGATAGGAAGTCGTCTTTTCTGAAACCTCGTTTGATATGGAACGGCTCGGAGAGGTTCTTTTTGATATTGCTTAACGTCAGTGAAACTTTGTAGTTTCAGATTAAGGGGATTGTATCCTTTTAGTAATTTGGGAGTTTGAGTCTCTGAAAAATTGCTGACGATGTTTTAACTAAATAAACGTAGATATGCTTTCTTAAATAATTATTTTTACAAAGAATGAAATTTGATTTTTCGAAACTGTAGTGTTTTCTAAGTAATGCAAAGACTAACAAAAAGTTTACTTGTTAAGTAAAGGTAGAAGTGGAAAATTTAGGAGCATAGCTCCTCTTAAATATAAAAAATAAAATAATGCAGATAGATCCACAGGCTTAGATCCACTTATTCCTAAAGACTACGATCTCAGTATATAGTATAGTATAGTAATAAGACAAATTTCGATTAAATAGGTTGAAATTCGATAAAGATTTTCTACTGAAATATTTGTGGAATTTTTTTATGGTATCGAGGGTACATATCCTTACCCAAAATACAAAATAACGCAACATCACTTTTCATAAGTTCCCAAGTGAGGGAAAATCGATATGTCAGAAACCACTCAAATTGAAAGAAAGTTTGATTTTTGGTTATAAAATGGGTATATATTGGTAATTTATTGGTTAGGAATTGCTTACAAAATGGTTATCAATTGGTTATTGATGAGAGCGAAAGCTGAAAATCGTATGCTATATGATGTGGTGAATTGTAAGTAATAAAGAACGCATTTTTTCATTTTTCAATGATACGTTGTTTCATGGTCAAATGGTCACGCCATTTTGTTCACGGATTTGTGTACAATTTTGTCAATGTGTTGACTAATATTTGCCATTTCACCATATTATGTTTCGCTGTGATATAACGCTTAGAAACTTGTCAAAGATTATTACGCGAATTCAGATGAGAGCTATTTCTGACTAAAAGGCTCCGACAGATTCTCGTGTCGTTCAGGAAAGCAAAAATTCACTGTCTGGGCGGACTGTGGTATGGCGGTGTCGGTGGGCCTTATTTCTTTCGAAATTAGGCTAGAAATGCCCTTATTCTAACGCTCGCATAACACTATGTTCAGGTTCAAAAAGTAATGAAATGATGCGGACGGTCTCTTTTTCCAACAAGTTTCACGTCTAAATGTGTAAAGTTCGGTGACTCGTTAATTTCAAGAAATGTCCCAGTCAAATCAGCTGACTAGTGTGCCTCGATTACTTCCTCTTGGATTATGTTAAATCAAAGGTTTGCGCTAAAAAACGTGGAAAAAGAATTGTAGAATTGCATAGTACCATAATATGGGATTCATAGGCATAAACTAAACTTCAGTATCAGAGCCTGTCGAAAGTCTCTCATATTTCTAATATCACTATAAGAAGTTATTAATGAAATTAAGTGTTGAAACAATATGTTCAAAGTTTCTCATTTACTCTTTTCAGTTCTTTTGTTATTATCAATATTTTAAGCATTCTTGTACATGTACATATTAAGTACAGAAAAACGTTTTCAATGAAGTCATTATTCTCTTACTCCCATTGAGTCTCTCTCATACCAATCCCTTCCATAAGAGTTCATGGAATTTTCAAAGTTGCAAATTACTTTAATCAAAAAGCAAAACAACCCTTTTCACTTAACAAGTTTAGTTTATATAATTTTACTTCAAACTACAGACTAATTTCGTAATTCCAGCAACAGAACGCTAATTTAATTTTATCTCTTAAATCTTTCACTTAAGAAACTAAATAACAACTGTGTGAAAAAAGTATGGCTAGAAAGTAAAAACACAAAGCAAATCCACCACAAATCCATTCTATTATTCTTAACCCATTTTTCTGCTCTGCGCTTTTCATTCACAGTTTCTGTTTTTGCTATATTTTTTTCTGGTTCTGTTCTGTCGCAGGCACAAAAGTTTAAAACTTTTGCTAGTTAAAATTCATTAAAGCTTAACCGCAGCTTTTTGCCGCTCATTTCACTGGTGGCTTGGCTTTTGAATGCATTCGTTGGCCCCCTCTCCCCGTGCCTACCGCTTCCTTTCGACTGCACTTCCGTTCAGCAGTCTCCTTTCGCTCAGCTTCCATTGGCCATTTCACTTGTGTCCAACTAACTATCAACAATCCCAGTAAAATCACACATAACCGCAGCTCAGTTGCAACAACAAAACTTACAAAAGCAAGCACACACGCTTCACTATAAATATCTAAGTACTTAAGTGTGTGTGTGCTCTAAGCCGACGCAGCCTGTGCATGTACCCAAAGCGAAGCGCTGTGTTGTTGTACTTTAAAAAAGTGTCCCATTTCAGCTTCTATTTTAGTCCGCTGCAGCATTGTAACTCGCCTGAAATATGCCTGCGTGTGCCTGTGCGTGTGTGTGTGGTCTGTTAGTGTCGCTAAACTTTGCTCATATTTTCTATATATTCTCAAGTTGGCAACACTATTTAGTAGCAACACGACACGCAACACAATAACTCGGTTATACTCACACACAAGTGGGTGTTGGGGGCGAGACCGGGAGGCGATACTGGGAGGCGGTCAACGGACATCCGATACACCGTAGCACACTTTCAATGGCCACAAGCAGTATGTGCGGGTGTGTGTGCGTGGGTTGGTGCCAACGGAAAACAAGTCAAATACCAAAGTCACCTTCGGTGTGAAAATGCCCGACAAAAATGTGTACCGGAACACTTACATGCTCTGGGATGTGCTTTGTGTGCTTATGACTGTGCGTGTGTATGTGTGTGTGTGTGTGTGTCTCGTAACTTTGTCGCTGGCCAAGCAGCAAATAAGGGGTGTGAGAGTTTTAAAATATGGACAATTTTAACTTTTTTGCGGCTCCTGGCACTAAGTAGCTCCGAGCTCGTTGGTCTCTTAAGCCGTCGTAATTCATTAGTTGACCAGTTTATCGTGATGGCCCAGGAGTAGGGGAAGCATACGTTGTCTGCCAATTGGCTGCGGCTGCCGAGGCTACTTTGGGGTAGGTGCAAAAACACTTAAGTGCCATTTAGGGTTCTACTTATTGATTTGGTTAGCTTTCTCGTTTATTGAAAAGGGAAAAATTAAATTAGACACCGGTTTTTGTAGGGTTTGAGTAGGGGAGCACTAGGCTAGTTCAGTGGCTATCGTTTTGCAATAATAGGATGAGTGTATGTAGAAATAAATTATTGATAATCGGACTCAGATAAGAGCTTTTGGAGACCTACTCTACATTCTCAACTAAATGTTCGAGAGCTAAGTATTTCATTGACTATTTTGATGTGACTAATCCAATATAATATAGCATGTTATCGTCCGCGATTAGGAAAGGGTTACTTTTATTTCGATTTTGTGTTAACTTCTTGATTTAACGCCCTTATTTTGACCTTAGATTTTTCGATATTCAAATTTCTCGAAAAGTTAGTACGGTTTGACCTTTCCATCACCTGCCTTGTGGATTCAAGTCGACAGATTTTCGAGAAATTGCTTCCGGATTTCGAAGCAGAACAAGCCCGAAGCAGGACATTTGTTTTTGAGACGCCACAGGGGAAGGAAAGGGACAAAATATCCTATAGAAGCAAAGCTATCTATATCCCCTAATGTGGGGACCCTTCTTCACCGTATAAGTATTTTAAAGATCAGAAAACAAACAGTTTCTCCAGTTTAGCTTAGTTTGGAGAAATTTTAAAGGCGAAGCTGGACAAAGATTTCTTTTAATATAAGAATCAAGTTAACTCACATTTAACAATGGAAATCATGAGCTAGGTTAAGTTAGTTACATAAGTCTGCAGGTTCTTTGTCATGCTAGATCGAGGTTCATTATTAATACGAACTGAAGTTTACGTCGTTGAGGACTTTTTACAATGTTTAATACAGACTTGATGAAATCTGATACTCCATCCAGTTCATTGAACTGTTGTGAAGCCGAGGTTGAAATAAGGCAGGTAGAGGAGTGTTCCAGTGTCTCTCACGGCGTTAATAATGGCCGTACGCATGTGATGCCAGTGAGCCAACAACCGTATTTCTAGCGCAGTTTTGTTATCACTTTGGCGATCGTGCTTATACCAAAGTATTCCAGCTAGTTCTGATACGTCTGTCAACACCATTGTGTATCCCTTTTAGTGACTTGTGTAGCTCTTCAACTGGTGTCTGGTAGCTGAGCGGATGTTTCCACTTTTCACTATGTTCACTGTACCCCTGCATCGAAGGCTTCTCCTGATACTGCAGAATTCTCTCAGCTTGAAGGCTCACCGCTGGTGCGTTGCGTGACCTTGCGCTCTTTTAGTGTAATTTAAATTCTTCTCTCCCAGATAAAACGTGAGAGTATGCGGTCTATTTTATTCAATGATCATCTGCTTATCCAGCTTTGGCCGAAGTGTCTGAAAGTGGACAATTCACCTGACTTTGCCGATATTTCACTTGATTTTCCTGCAGCTGATTTTCTACTGAAATATGAACTCGTCAATTGATGGCAGGTCGAGTAACCTTTATAATGTAACTGTTGGAGAGGTTCTTGATGCTGCCGTTATGCAGAGAGCGGCAAGTCGTTATATTCACTTCAAGATTTCGTATGAGATTTTGCTGGCAGCAGTCCATTGCACCAAAGCGCTGTGAAGCTCACCCAAGATTGGGGTGACTACCGCTGTCAATACCAAAATTTTTGCATCAATGGAATCACCGGTGCAACTAGAACTCAATAACGATATCGATCCTTTATTAAAAGTTGATCACGAGCATCTAAAAGTATTCAGAACTATTGCGGTATCTAAAAGTAAGTGTTAAGATATAAAAAAAATATTTTATTAAGTTCACAAAATTTTAGATTTGAAGTGGTGATAATAAACCGCAAGACTTAGCTAAAATCTAAATATTAAACCCCTTTGTTCTACCTTCCACTTATCCCTTTTGTTAAAAATAACTGTCTCCCTTGCCACTCCCTATAAGTTTACAGCTCGTCGCACTTTGCCTTAATCATGTTGAGTGTGACAGTGCCCACATTCGCCGATGCATTGTTCAGCAACTCGAAAATGTGCATGTTCGCACTGCCATTACGCGTGTCCGCATAGAGGGCCTGCACCACGCCCTGATAGGCGTTATAGCGTTCGCTTTTCTCCCAATCGCGCTTGAACTCCACATACAAGCGATGCACGTCGAAGAGGCGTTGTGATGACGCATCGTACTGCAGCGGCGTTTCGTGCGCGTTCGTTGGCCATGGCAATAGCTTGCGCCACGTGTCGTGCAAACGCTCGAGGAACTCAAAATTACTGAATATGAATGTGACAAAGAGGTCGACGCCTTTGCGTTGCAATTTCGCCAGCATTTCCGCCAAGTCTTCGTTTGCATATTGCGAGTTCTTAAATTGCTCATAATCGGTGGAGAGGTCATTTTCGAGATAGCTGTACAAACGATTGCGTTTCGCATAGAAGTCATCAATGGCAAGTATTGTGTCGATTTCGGCCAACACTTTGCTTAACTTGGTGGCGTGCAGTGTATGCGAGTCGGCAGTGGATGGCTCCAACTTCCCCTCTTCATTTTCCGTCGCTGACATAGCCGCAATGTGCTTTTCTTCAATGGCCTCCTGCAAGAGCTTGCGTACGGTGAACAAATAATCATCGATTAACTCCGCGCCGGCCGCCTTCACATTTGCATACAGCAGCCGTGCGAAACGTTCGAGCTCGATATGTGCCAAGGGCGTTGCGTCCGTTGAGGCGACTACAGTTTCGGCACGCAGTGGCGCCAACTTGACATTCGCCCAGTAATGCGGCGCCGTGGGTGGTAGCGGTGTGGCTTTGTGTGTCGCCGTTTGTGTTTGATTGGACAGCGCATCGCGGTACCAAAATTGTTCGCATAAATTGTACCAGCGCAAATGACGCAGCTCTGTGACGCTCTCCTCCTGCAGCTGCAATAATTGACGCTTCAATTTGCCGAGGAAGTTTAGATTGCGCACCGTGTAATAGCTCTCGACGCTGTGCGGCGGCTCGTTCAACTTGAGGTCGAGCAACTGCTTGAGGTAGACGATTTTCGGCAGGAGTCTTGTGGCGCTGGCAGCTGACTCGATGCGTGACACATAGGCGACATAGTCTTTGTTAGCGCGCAGCTCCTGCAGTAGGCGATTGAGATGATCGCCGGCGGCTGTGTCCACCAAAGCGTTGAGCTCATCAATGAAATGAGTTTGGAATTTGCGGCTCTTGATGTCGGCGTGTGGCAACAGAATGTTAGATTGCTGGGTTGTGGTGGCCGCGTTGCAGTACTAGGGATGGAGTAGAAGTTATGTGTTTATTGTGCTTTTAGAGTGTGTAGAGCATTGGGTGTTTACCAGTGGTGACTGTGGAATGAGCAGTAGGAAGGCAAAAACGATTAATCGCCTCATATTGCTGATTGAAGTGTCAAACTGGAGCCGAAGGTGTGGTTTTGGGTTTTGGTTTTTGTTGGAGTAGTTTTTATTTTCACAATTTTCTTTTATAAAAATTATTGCTGCTCCTTAATCAAGGTTTTTGAACTCACAAACTTTGTTTACGTTTTTAGGTTAAAATTGTTTAAATTATCGAATGTTAGGTTCGATATTTGGGTTTTTATTTACTTATTTTTTGACCGTTTTTAAGTGCATCAATCGTTTCCAATTTAATTTAATATTTTTTACTATACTTCAATTGCAATTCACTTTTTTTGTATTCCTTCGCTGCTTGAGCTGAATCCAACCGCTCGCTTAAGCTTTACGATTCGCTATGTTTACGTTTTCGCACTGTAATTCCACTAGCGAACTGCCAAAGGCTGCTCTGGCGCTTCTAATCGCAATTACATTGTTTATTTATAAACTCATATATGCAAATACAACGCTGGGGTTAAGCGGGTCCCGCTTATTTTGCGCGGCGCTCAACAAAGCGCTTATCAAAAGGCGGCGATAGCGCGTCGGCAGCTACAAACTCTCATGCCTTTTACATACGAGTATTCTACACAACTTGTATAATGTATTTTTGTTTACATTACTATATGTATATGTACATATAGACAAATGTATTATATATAAGATTATGTTTTAAGAATTTAAAGGAGGCATTGACATAGCTGACATTGACTTGTATGTGAGTACATAGTTGCTGATTAAAAGTGTTGCTCTAGTTTCGTCAAAGCTTTGAAAATTCCTTCTGAAAATTTCAAACGCTTTAAAATAGTGAAAAGATGAAAGCTTTTTATTTAAGATTGTAAACTTTTCTAAAGCTTTGTTGAAATTCTGCTTATATGACAGCTTTTCGAAACTAAAGTGTGCTTTAAATATTTTTGTATTTTGTATTTTGACACCAGACAACTTGCGATCGCATGTTTTATGGTATTATATATTGATTGCAAGCGAATTGCGTCGCCTCGTCTACCTTGCTGAGGACAGCTTTAAGACAATCTCATGGTATTAGTGTCAAAAATTGTAAAGTTATTTTAATTTTGGGAACGCTGGGCTAACATAGACATTTTTTTTTTTCAGAAAATTTGATTTTATTATTCAATGTAGTTATCTTCGAGTGCCATACAACGATTATAGCGGTCGAAAATTTTTTCAATAACATTTTTATAATATAAATTTCTTTACAGCGAGCATTCTCTTAAGGTCTGAGAACAGGAAATAGTCACAGAATGCGATAGCAATTCGAAGCTCGTTTCAAAAATTTTTTTTCATCATTCACTGATTTATGGGACGATGCGTTGTCTTGATAAAACAGCACTTTTTCGAGATTTCGTTCTTCCAACGCTCCAATAAAACAATGTAATAGTCTTAATGTTGGTCCCCTTAAAAGATGGTCGATGAATATTATACGAGTACCGTGAGCATTCCAAAAAACTGATGATATAACCTTGTCATCTGACTTTTGTGTTTTTCCACGTTTCAAAATCGACTTATGACATGGAGTCCGCTCGGCTGACTGTCGATTGACTGGTTTGATATATAATGAGTCATTGTTGTTTTTGATACGTCGTTGTTTTGAAACACAGCTTTCGAGTACCTAAATATTCATTAGCAATATATCCAAAACGTTTTCGATATCTTTACAGTTTCACTTATCTCGAACAACTTCACTTTACGGGCATACGAAACTATTTTGGTGAATTTTTAAACGTCTTTGTTGGTAACAGCCTCTTTAGGGTGTCGACTGTCTTCATCGACCTCGATGCTCATTCCAACTCGCTCAAACTTAGTCAGCCATCTTTCAGCTGCCGATTTCCTTGGAGCATAGTCCAAATAATGTTGATTAGTTCAAGCCTTGACTTCAACAGTCATTTAACCCTAAAAAGCAATGCTTTATTAATTTTGCATTTACCAAAATGCTATATATCATAAATTAATAGTTCGACAGCTGTCAACTTGGACACGTATCTTTTCAAGGTACAGAGAAAAAATTATACGTATTTCATATTGGTATTATCACCTAAGTATCAGCCTGCGAACTTCTCTGTCCGCGTATCATAGTTTATAAATTAAAAAAGCAGAGCAGAGAACAGTTCTGAAGCTCTTTAAATTGAAGGTCGCTGTCGCTGTCCAAAATTTTGGCGATGTCTGCTCTAGTTTACAACATTTGAATTTTAAAACTAGTTTCTACTAATTCAAAACTTTCGCAGCTTAAAAGCTTTAGCAAATGCCTTTGACACATAAGAAAATATCATGCAAAATAGTTGATTTTTTGTTGTTCTTAATTGCATACTTAAGAAACACCCCCTTCAATACATGTATATTCTCTATTTACATTTTGAACTAAATTTAATTTTCAGCCAGGTAGCAACTCTTCTTGGCCTAAAATGCTTTCCCCACATAGATAACGAAATATTTCTTGAATGCTAAATAATTTATTGGAACAATACTTTTTTGGCAAGTGGCAACCCTAGCTAAAAATTTAGCAAGAATGGGGTAATTCTAATTAAATATAATATATCAAATATAAAATTCTTCAAAAATGCATTCCTACAATACAAACCATTCTATCTAAGTATATATATTCATTTTATTTCAGTCAGATGGCAACTCTTTCTCAGCCTGAAGCTTTCACAAATACCTTTCACACATAAACAATATTTCTTGTTTGTATAATATTTTTTTCTAGCAAATAACAACCCAAAGTTAGAAAATTAGAAAGAAGGTAGCAACTTTATTAATATTATATTTTTTATTAAATAAAACATTCTCCTAAAATGTAAACTTAAGGCACATGTCTTTTTATGTATATTAATTTTGCTGTAAATTTTAATTTAAGCTAAGTGGCAATAGAACTGGTTTTCTTTAGTGTATTCCTATGACACATTCCGTTTTAAATTGGTTATTTTATTAACAAAAAAAATATTTTAAGACATGTGGAAACTAATGAATTTAAAAGTAAGTTTCTGGGTTTCATTTATTTTATTTCAGTTAGCTTACTCGTTTCTCTTCTCTGTCAACCATTTCAATAATTTCTTTTTATACTCTCGCAACAAAGTTGCTAAAGAGAGTATTATAGTTTTGTTCACATAACGGTTGTTTGTAAGTCCTAAAACTAAAAGAGTCAGATATAG